CCACAGACTCACCAGAAGCAGAACACGCCCACATGCTCATCACACAGCTCAAGCACGACGTGATGGAAGCCCAGGACAACTTGCTTGCAGCTAAGGCGACTCAGGCAACCCAGGTGAACAAGCAAGGGTGCCGGAACCAAAGCTCAAGGTGGGCGACAAGGTGACGCTGTCAACAAAGAACCAGCGCAGAGAATACATGCAAAAAGGTGATAAGCGTGTTGCTAAATACATGCCCAGATTCGACGGACCTTACATGATCCTGGAATCCCACCCAGAAATGTCGTCCTACATGCTCGACCTCCCGAATTCCCCAAACATATTCCCCACCTTCCACTCCTCACAATTGTGTTACTTCCATGTCAACGACACAACACTATTCCCATTGCGGGAGTTTCCAAGGCCCGGACCTGTCGGACCAAAGACGGACAGATGGAGAACTTCATTGAGAAGATTGTCCACAAAAGAAGGTCAGAAGAGGAAAACATTACCTCATGTGTTAGGTTGGTTGTGGTGCTGACAAAGACAAATGGCTACCTCGCCAGGATCTTGAAGATTGCAAGGCGCTGAACGTCTGGGAAGGGCAAAAGAAAGCTTCATAGGGTGGGAGGGTGTAAGCTGGACTTACACATCAAAGCATGTCATTGCTTAGATGTCGAACATTGATTGGTCACCGCATGTTGTTTACAGCTATTTTGTCTGGCTCCTATATATACTGCACCTGTATTGCATATACTACGCATCGCCTCTTAGTATCCTCCTTTAATCTCATACACTTCTACTTGTTACTCTTTGTCTGAACTTGAATGTAGTGTTTCTACCTTGGGGTAGTTTCCATTTACCCAACTTCACATGTTTTTCTTATTTTCAAGTTCACAGAAAGAATATATACCAATCAGACTTTTGTACACGCAGCTGGACTTTGGATTGTGCCTTTGAAGTCAACAAATGTGAACATGTTGAAAGGCTATGAGTATGTAGGATGAATGGCTGATGAATGGTAGACCCTCACACAGCGGGAGTCCTAGAAGGCCACATTCATGATAGGAGATGAACAACTGAACAATGTTTAAGACACCCCTACACAGCGGGAGTCCTGGAAGGCCACATTCATGATAGAAGATGTGCAACGAAACCCTGTTTAAGACACTCCTACACAGCGGGAGTCCTGGAAGGCCACATTTGATGATAGAAGATGTGCAACCAACCCCAGTTTAAGACACCCCTACACAGCGGGAGTCCTGGAAGGCCACATTCATGATAGAAGATGTGCAACGAAATCCTGTTTAAGACACACCTACACAGCGGAAGTCCTGGAAGGCCACATTCATGATGGGAGACGGTCAACCAAATCATGGTTGAGACACCCCTACACAGCGGGAGTCCTGGAAGGCCACATTCATGATTGAAGATGTGCAACCAAATCATGGTTGAGACACCCCTACACAGTGGGAGTCCTGGAAGGCCACATTCATGATGTGAGATGGTCAACCAAATCATGGTTGAGACACCCCTACACAGTGGGAGTCCTGGAAGGCCACATTCATGATCGAAGATGGTCAACTGAACAATGTTTGAGACATCCCTACACAGCGGGAGTCCTGGAAGGCCACATTCATGATAGACGATGTGCAACGAAACCCTGTTTAAGACACTCCTACACAGCGGGAGTCCTGGAAGGCCACATTTGATGATAGAAGATGTGCAACCAACCCCAGTTTAAGACACCCCTACACAGCGGGAGTCCTGGAAGGCCACATTCATGATAGAAGATGTGCAACGAAATCCTGTTTAAGACACACCTACACAGCGGGAGTCCTGGAAGGCCACATTCATGATGGGAGACAGTCAACTGAACAATGTTTGAGACACCCCTACACAGTGGGAGTCCTGGAAGGCCACATTCATGATGTGAGATGGTCAACCAAATCATGGTTGAGACACCACTACACAGCGGGAGTCCTGGAAGGCCACATTCATGATGTGAGACGGTCAATCAAATCATGGTTGAGACACCCCCACAAAGTGGGAGTCCTGGAAGGCCACATTCATGATGTGAGCAGGTCAACCAAATCATGGTTGAGACACCCCCACAAAGCGGGAGTCCTGGAAGGCCACATTCATGATGTGAGACGGTCAACCAAATCATGGTTGAGACACCACTACACAGCGGGAGTCCTGGAAGGCCACATTCATGATCGAAGATGGTCAACTGAACAACGTTTGAGACACCCCTACACAGCGGGAGTCCTGGAAGGCCACATTCATGATCGAAGATGTGCAACGAAACCCTGTTTGAGACATTCCTACACAGCGGGAGTCCTGGAAGGCCACATTCATGATGGGAGACGGTCAACCAAATCATGGTTGAGACACCACTACACAGTGGGAGTCCTGGAAGGCCACATTCATGATGTGAAGATGGTCAACCAAATCATGGTTGAGACACCCCTACACAGTGGGAGTCCTGGAAGGCCACATTCATGATGGGAGACGGTCAACCAAATCATGGTTGAGACACCCCTACACAGTGGGAGTCCTGGAAGGCCACATTCATGATGGGAGACGGTCAACCAAATCATGGTTGAGACACCACTACACAGTGGGAGTCCTGGAAGGCCACATTCATGATTGAAGATGTGCAACCAAATCATGGTTGAGACACCCCTACACAGTGGGAGTCCTGGAAGGCCACATTCATGATCGAAGATGGTCAACCAAATCATGGTTGAGACACCCCCTACAAAGCGGGAGTCCTGGAAGGCCACATTCATGATGTGAGACGGTCAACCAAATCATGGTTGAGACACCCCTACACAGCGGGAGTCCTGGAAGGCCACATTCATGATGGAAGACGGTCAACCAAATCATGGTTGAGACACCCCTACACAGTGGGAGTCCTGGAAGGCCACATTCATGATTGAAGATGTGCAACCAAATCATGGTTGAGACACCCCTACACAGTGGGAGTCCTGGAAGGCCACATTCATGATGGGAGACGGTCAACCAAATCATGGTTGAGACACCCCTACACAGCGGGAGTCCTGGAAGGCCACATTCATGATGTGAGACGGTCAACCAAATCATGGTTGAGACACCCCTACACAGTGGGAGTCCTGGAAGGCCACATTCATGATGGGAGACGGTCAACCAAATCATGGTTGAGACACCCCTACACAGCGGGAGTCCTGGAAGGCCACATTCATGATGGGAGACGGTCAACCAAATCATGGTTGAGACACCACTACACAGTGGGAGTCCTGGAAGGCCACATTCATGATTGAAGATGTGCAACCAAATCATGGTTGAGACACCCCTACACAGCGGGAGTCCTGGAAGGCCACATTCATGATGGGAGACGGTCAACCAAATCATGGTTGAGACACCCCTACACAGCGGGAGTCCTGGAAGGCCACATTCATGATGTGAGACGGTCAACCAAATCATGGTTGAGACACCCCTACACAGTGGGAGTCCTGGAAGGCCACATTCATGATGGGAGACGGTCAACCAAATCATGGTTGAGACACCCCTACACAGCGGGAGTCCTGGAAGGCCACATTCATGATGTGAGACGGTCAACCAAATCATGGTTGAGACACCCCTACACAGTGGGAGTCCTGGAAGGCCACATTCATGATGGGAGACGGTCAACCAAATCATGGTTGAGACACCCCTACACAGCGGGAGTCCTGGAAGGCCACATTTTGAATAATGAAGGGTGTATATAGTGGTGAAAAGTCAATCCTAGCAATCCTAGGAGGCCCCATAACTGCGCAATATGAGGGGTCAAGTTTGCACAAATCTGACATTTGTATATTTGTGCAACATAGGGGTTGATTTCACGCAAATCTGACATGTGCATATTTGCGCAATATGAGGGGTCAATTTTGTGCAAATCTGACATTTGTATTTTTGCAAAATATGAGAGGTTGATTTCAAAAAGTCTGACATTTGTATATTTGTGCAACATAGGGGTTGATTTCACGCAAATCTGACATGTGCATATTTGCGCAATATGGGGGGTCCATTTCACGCAAATCTGACATTTGCATATTTGCGCAATATGGGGGGTCAATTTTGCGCAAATCTGACATGTGCATATTTGCGCAATATGGGGGGGTCCATTTCACGCAAATCTGACATTTGCATATTTGCGCAATATGAAGGGTCCATGTCACGCAAATCTGACATTTGTATATTTGCGCAATATGAGGGGTCAATTGTGCGCAAATCTGACATTTGTATTTTTGCGCAATATGGGGGGTCCATTTCACGCAAATCTGACATTTGTATATTTGCGCAATATGAAGGGTCCATTTCACGCAAATCTGACATTTGTATATTTGCGCAATATGAGGGGTCAATTGTGCGCAAATCTGACATTTGTATATTTGCGCAATATGAGGGGTCAATTTTGCGCAAATCTGACATTTGTATATTTGCGCAATATGAGGGGTCCATTTCACGCAAATCTGACATTTGTATATTTGCGCAATATGAAGGGTCAATTTTGCGCAAATCTGACATTTGTATATTTGCGCAATATGAGGGGTCAATTTTGCACAAATCTGACATTTGTATATTTGCGCAATATGAGGGGTCAATTTTGCGCAAATCTGACATGTGCATATTTGCGCAATATGGCTGTTTTAGATATACCATAACCCAGCCTTAACTCTAATGGACTTGCAAAATCATGGGTAGAATTACATAAAGCATATCTGAGATTTTGCTGATGTATGCCGAAGGCAAAACGAGTGTGCGCTAGATGAATATAAAAGCACACTTCGGCCACAAAAGAAATATTGCACTGAAGTACGTTTTGGAACGCATGTTAACTTTTGCGAGCCATGTGTCGAATGACACTATTTCATCGTCCAATGGAACAGATGCGAATGGGGCTGTATATTTGTGAATCACTGAGACTGACTTTTGTCAGAATCACAGTACATCGTGCAGCAACGCTTGACCTGCGATGACTTAGTGCTGCTTGCCGCGTTATGAATGACCCGCTGTATCATTCACTAAAGATCATACAAGAATCATATTCAAGACATCAGTACTCGGTCATAAGTAAGCAGGTGATCGTAGTTTTCGTAACGAACATGGAAGATCGAGCTAAGTATGATAGGTATCGCAAAAGTGGAGGTATCGCAAAGGTATGATAAAGCAACAAGACGAATAGGTAAGTAAAAAAGTCACATCTATAGAATAGCTCTGCCCCAGCGCTTGGATGAGAACTCATCTATAGCGCTGGGTCATCTCAAATCTCGGCCCTCATTCGTTCTTGGAACCATGCTCGGGGCGTGCTTATTACATCCTCAGAAGCCGAAGTGACAGTCGTTCTCGTCATCTCTGTGTCATCGCTCGTTACCGTTGTGCCACCCACACTACGAATCGTTGGTTGGGAGAGCAGCGAACGAATGGAAAACGAAGGCATAGGACCAAGGACCGACGTGCGGCTGCCTGGTTCCGCCAACTGATCCTCATTTTCCTCGATAGTGTGGGACATGTACCGCGAGGAATCTGCGTGCCCAAACGCGCTCACAGATGGTGAGATAGGACTAAACGGTCGACTAGAATGTAACGATGCAGAGGACATGGTTGCTACGCGTGAGTGGGCGGAATTTGCAGAAGGACGAGAGGAATTGGACCCTGAGAGATTGAAAACGCGTGCTGAGGATGCAGGTGCTGACCCTGAAGATGAACGTGCAGAGTAGGGGCTTAGGTGCGAACGCATAGAGTGCAAAGATCCCCGCTCAGAGACTAAGGGATTCCCTTGATGGATGAGTTGGGGCTGTATCAACAAACACCGTCAGTCTAAGATTATCCAGAGCCATATCTAAACTTACAGTTCCAAACGTGGTTCTCTGTTCACTTGGGTCTAGTCCGGCACTGACACCAAGGTGGCCACTGGTTAAGTTCCTCCAACCATCACCTGCTCGTGGCGGTTCAGCATCGAGAACATCGATTGTGATACCTGCGTCATTTGACGAGCCCGTGATCACGGACAACGAGTCTCTCCATGCATGGCGACTAGATAATGGGACAAGACCTGGCGGCAAAGGTCTCCCGCTTGTCGAAGCGGATGAAAAAGGAGCTGGAGCTGGTGTATCCAGAACGTCAACACCTGTGGGAGACAACGGGCTGGGGACCCTGCTACCCATCAGATCATACGGATCATCGTATGCTGGGGGTGCTCCACTCGGCATAGAATGTGCAAAATCCGTTGCAGGTACCACGCTTCCCCTCTGACTCGCAGGTGTAATTGCTCTTGAAGGAAGGGAAACAGGGGTGCCCATACGAGAGACTGCGTCATGGTACACTGTGTTCCCGGATATGGCGCTCTTGGCACTCACGCTCGACATCGGACGTTCTCCTGCAGGGGTGTAACCTACACCAAGCCTGCGACCGAGCAAGGATTGGGCTGCTTCGGGGTCTTTATCTGATCCCTTACGCGAGTTTGATCCACTACGAGATGAGGATGAACCAAACCAGCTCCTTCGCAGACGAGAGAAGGAGTTGCGCCAGCTGGTGGGTCCTGCAATAGGCTGGGTATTTGTGGAGTCGTCATCTTGCGGGCTACGGGAACCGAGCTCCTGGACGCGTACGCGGCGAGCTGTAAAGATTTTGGAATCCTCAAGGTCACTCGTTGGGTAAGAGGCGCTGCGGACGGATTTTTCCTTCTCGTCAAGTAGGGAGCGATCTGAAGGTTTGCGGGTAGCAGTTCCCTCGAGAGGTGGGGGTGGGAGTAGGGGGGCGATGTGCTCGGGCAGAGAGGGATGACTTGAACTATACATGCGTGGCCGGGGTATGTCTTCCGGCTCTTCCTCATCTGCAATGCGGAGGAGCTCGCCAGGAGGCATGATGTGGCCTAGCATCTCGCTACTGGCGTGGGCAGGGATGCCATCACCACTGTAGGCCTGTCCAAAGTGTCCTGAGCCAGGGAGGACGACGCCATAGTCTGTCGAAGCCTGGGAAGACCTTGTTCTATCGGAGCCAGTGCTTCCCACAATACGGGGTGGAGCAGCACCGGGGGGAAGAGAAGATACTGGACGTGGACGACGTTCAGGATCGGTAGCGGTGCTGCGCCGGAGGAATGAATCTGCTTCATCGTCTCCACTGTCGCGAGGAGAACCCAGACCAGCTGGACGATTCTCCTCGTCGCCGGTTTGATCAGGGGTAAGAACATTCCATCCTGTCCAAATAGGTGTGATAGCCCTAGAGTCTCGTCGACGGGTGTTCCAACGGACGAACCAGATGAAAAGCAGAAGCAAGATGATGAACAAGATGATGGCACCAATGATGATACCGATGAGTGCTCCTTTCGATAAAGCAGCCGCATGTGAAGAGGAATTGGATGTGGCAGAGGTGGAAGGAGATGTAGAAGCAGACGAGGTCGAAGCGGAAGTAAATGAGGTAGAAGTGGAAGTCAATAAGCTAGATGTAGAAGTAGATGAGGTGGATGAAGACTGATAGGATGATGAAGAGGAAGTAGGTGTCGCAGAGGATGTTGGGGTAAAGGATGTCGCAGTGGATGAAGTCGTTAGAGAAGATGATGATGCTGCTGGCGAGGTGAGACCACCGTAAGTCCAAGCACCATCACTGCCCAAGGGAATCTAAAAGGCAAGGATATCAATATGGTGAACATCTCGAGGGTAAAGGCAAGGTTGGCGGTACAAATGAATGTAGGTACTCACACTTGGACCGTAGTAGGTGAGTGGGAGCTGAAGGGTGGTTTCGGTAGTTACAGTTTGCCCTGCAGCATTTGTATACACGGTAGTTGCCAGTGTCATCCATGAAGGTAATTGTTGAGTGGCAGCCATGAGTTGTACAAACGTATGGAACCCTCGTTGCGGAGAAGTAGTAGTCGTAATAAGAGTTAATGAAAGTAACTTTGCACCCTGCTTTTGGTTCACAAACGTGTACCACAGGAAAAGCCAGCGAATAAGAAAAGGCAGTGAACCTAATGAACACTGGAAAACGTGTGGTTCAAACCTTCGGGCCACCTTTGCCAGGTCGCGGTTCATTTTCGTCACGTGCGTTGAGCTTATATCCACGTGATTAGATTACTCACAATACCGCGTGACGCCCTTTGTACGGCATTTATAAATTTCTCAAACGGTCATGCGTGCACCCTCACAAATTTCTCTCTGGCCACCGGTACCGACGCCTTTCAAGTACTGTCTTTTCCCAACGCCCGTAATTACCGTCTCCTAGTGCTCACGCTTCCTGCTATCTCACTTCGCAAATGGTCGCATGACATTAGATATCATAGTCACACGTCCTGTCCTCTCTGTTGCTTCCTGTCGTCCCGCTACCAACCCAACCATCAAATATGAATCCCAGATGACACGCTCCCAAACCGTCTTTTTTAAAAACCTCTGCCTAAGAAATGTGGGTGTCCACCCGATGCTTGCTTACGCGTCATGATTCAAATTATTATATCATTTAGCTCCCGGGCCAGCGAGGCGTCTTCTTCGTGATGTACAACCACCAGCAGGAAAACAGCAACTTTTTCGACATAATCTAGTTGAAGCACGTATATGTGATTGCTAATGGAGGAGTTCCCGTGAACTGATAGATGGGTCGTGATGCTCACTGAGGAGCATCCCTCCAAATACTGTTCGAAAAGGTCGGATTGCCTTATTGTACGCCTCCCTAATACGATTACCGCATTTCGTCAATATTACTATTCACATCGTGGAAGGTCTTCTAGTCCACCATTTTCCACACGTTTTGGGATAATCTTAGTGAAATCCGGTGGGACAGTCTAGGTAAGCCTAGCTCGTATCACCTCCTTGTCCTGAACGTGATGTAGCGGTGAAGACGACTCGTGCTTTGAATTCACATAGTAATAGTATGATACAGCAATAGGCAAAGGTAACTTCCGATTCTGATTCTTTGATAATTTATCTGACAAGAACTCTCTCAGAAGCAAACTGCATACTTTTGTGCAGTTACATCCAACTTCGAGCCCTACTCCGCCACCATTTGCCCATGCCCTGGCGATGGAGCCTTCTCTCTGGATTGCTAAACAACATGTTGTCGTTTGTCCTTTCTTTTTAGCCTTTTCGCGATTATTTCCAGATGTTCTCTGACCGCTTCAGCTCAATAATATCATCCTTGAATCACATCAACCCATGTCTTCCATTGCACCCAGTTTTCAAACGGGTCCGTAGTGAACCAGTTATTCATGCTGACCTGTAAGGATACGCATGTCCACTCACAGACAGTATACTAGGAATTTTTCCACGCTGCACCCCGGTTCAAACACGCCGGAATGATTTCAGTCCAGACTGTGCTTTCAGCCGCGGCTGTGCGATACCATACCTTCCCCACACGCCACGTGATGTTCGTGTACTCTTATCGACCTCTCTTCGCATGAAAATCTTGATTTTCTACTCCCCACCATCAACAATCCCTTCTGTAGCCATCGTTCGCAAACCCGCACCTTGATTCGTGCACTTTTTATTACCTGCTTCTGGTTGCTATTTCATTGCGTACCGCAGTGTCTTGATTGCTGGGCGCTGCTGATCCAGGGCCATCACGACCCCATACGGTTAGATCGATGATGATCCTCTGACCCAGATCTTCCTGCCGATACCGTTAATGTGGCAACCGCAGCTCCTCGTATCATGTTCCATTCCTGGGTGCACCTTCAACCTGCTGTGGCCTTTCCAATAGCAGAATTCCAGAAAGGCTGTAGCCGAAAATGAATGTATCCTATTGCCCGAGGCACGGGGGCGGTTCCGTATCATGTACTCACCTTCACGTGTCAGGTATAAGCCTTTGACTGGGATGTGATTACTTTGTAAGGCTTCATGGATCAAAAAATATTGTCTCTAGTTGCTGACAAGCTTAAAGTTTTCCATCCTATTCGCCCTCCACGTAAAATCGCAGGCTGCAGGACGCTAGGAACTTCGGCGCTTGCCGAGTTGAGACAGGTTCGTATAAAAAGCTAATTCACAAAGTCCAGTCTAATCAACCATGAAAGCGAATTCGGATTTCGTAGCCATTCATCTCTTTTGAGGCTTCAGTATGACTGGGACTTCCGAGAGTGTGCTCATTTCACATCCCTGTCCCACGTATACTTTCCTGGTCATTACACCCTTACACGCTTCTTCGATGGATGTGCTTCGCAACAACAAGTGTCTGCGGGGAATTCTTTCTTTCTTTCTTCGAGTATCCTGTCAACTCAGTCATACGCAATACACCCCAAGCCTCTAAATTTACTATCATAACTGTGACCTTATACATTCCTCATCGATCCTGAGATTCAGACTGATAGGAGACCCCTCACTAACGATTTCAGGAACGGGTTAGCCGAGAGGGATGGTAGCTCATGCGTCGTCGATAGCTAGGATGATCTGCGTGGTGCAGTTTACCTCGCGGAAATGGTGATAAGGATAAGGTATGTGTCGTTATTCTACAAATGGCTCATGATTCACGGACCTCACCTTGTCGCGCCCTGTTGAATGGTATCCTACCCGAACTTTATTTTTGATGCTGTTTTCGCTGAAGTAATGTGTAGGTCATGGGAACTCCCAGGCTTCGTTGAGCAGACAGTTCCTGTCTGGAGCATTGCGTCGTTCTCTACTGTGCTGAGCGAGGTCCGGGTTGAATGAGGTTCTCAGGCTAACAAGCGCAGATATGCAGTACAAGAAGTACGATACACCCGGCGAAGTGGTGCGTCCGCACCAGATATATTGCATAACCTTCGGGCTCTGCCATATCTCTTAGCATTAGCCCGCGAAACGTGGAGACGGGACAGGAGAGTATCCGTGATGAAGCAGTGTGGTTCAGGAAAGCATGGACGCCTCAGGAATTCTTTTTATCTCAGTCAGGCTTCTCGTGCCAGTGGGCTCTGCTACGCTTTCCTTGGCCTCTGGACATTTCTTCCTTATCGCTATCTCTTGCACACCCACGCAGAATGTTATTGATTTCTCGCATCTTTCAGCCTTTCGTTCAGACTCTCCACCCAGTCCATGCAAGTTCTTCTAGTCAGGTTGTCCCAGTAACCAATATCACACAATCCAATGTTCTATCTAACTTGTGATTTGTTTTATGACATTTTGTGCGCTTCTTGTTGTTTGTTCATCCCGCTTCGCCATCGCTTTGCTCGTTGTAATATTTATTAGGGTGCATCGTGATCGCTCTGCTTTTCTGGTCATTAACATTTTTAGTTTAGGGCTACTGTGATCATCACAACCGCAGTCTGATCCTCTCCGTCTCGAAATCTCATTTTGACATTGTTAGCGTGGTGATTTGTAGCCCCTCCTATTGTATCTCATCTTGATTCCTAGCTGTGCTTTCATCCGTTTGCTTATGCCTCGTGCCTAATGCGCCACGGTTTCTGAGCTGGGTCCTCTTCCCTCGCCACACCCTGTCACCGACCAGATCTGTTGATCTCAGATCCATCTGTCGTCCCCGCCCAGCTTTGGGAAGGTCTGTTCGCTGTGTCATTCTCGATCTTCGTCGATGCACTGTTGTTATCCTTGACTACGCCGTGAAATTACCCTACACTGGTGAACAGATTCATTTTTCATCGGTAATTGATTTGTGTCACGACAGGCCTTTTTCCATCACTTTAACACTTGGCCAGCAGCGTCCATCTTCGCTTAACTTTGTGCCTCATCACCACTGTGACACCCGCGGCATCTTGCATTCTATATCTTCGGTTTGGCGATGCGGGACGGATCATTTCCCCCTTTTACTTTGCATTCTGTCTGTCCTTGACAATTCTGATTATGAGGAACACCCTATTTGCAAAGTCCGTGGTTTCTTCTGCTACTGCCTTCGGAGCCTAGCATGCATTCATATCCATCATCGGTTCTGATGCTTCCATTGTCTTCCGCTTGCTTGAGGCTTGGCCGCACCACCAACACTGTGTCTAATTTGTTTATTTGCCGCCTTGCATCAATGTGAAACGGTGAGCTCATGATGCTTCGAGTGTGACGCGACAGTTCTCTGTAACCGCTCAGCCGCCGTTCATAAGAATGCTGTGCATGTAGTATATGACAATGACATCCTGCCTAATGCACGGAATCATATCGGGCAGAGTCTTCCCGCTAGTCGGAGCTGAAGTGTCTGTCAATTGTAAAATCAAGTTATCATATGATATTGAAGAAGGCATGATAATCTTGTCGTCTAGTAAACATAGGCATCTAAATTATATTTAAGTATCCGATCTTCCGCTCATACTTCTCGGCGTCCCATATGCAGATTCCGAACTCGACCTTGACAAGAAAGCCGTCGACGTCATACTCGGGGATCGCAACCACCGAGTTGGCGTAACGACCTTCAGAAAATTATCAGTGGGGATCCTGTCCGTATGCCATCCTCTAGGAGAATAGCTATATTGCGATTCGGGGGGTGACATATCTTGTGAATCATGGATCGGAGTCATAGGAGTGAGGCATAAAAATGTTGACCAAACACGAATGCTGCCATCGTGCCCGCCTACGGCAAATGCGAAAGGATCACCTGCGAGGCTGTTGCATGATAGACAAGTCAAATCCTGATCAGGGTTCATAGGGTAGATGTGATGAAGAAGATTAGCAGTATCTCGATCCCAAATAAGGATATCTCCAGCTGCACAACATTGTCAGCAAATATTGCGAAAAAATCAGCACGAAATCATACATTTTCCGGCGCAGACTATAAACTGATCATTCTTGCCGCCAAACGTTGATCCAACATATTCAACGGAGACTGGGGACGAAAATGCATGACGAAATGTGAGTCTCGCACAATTACGGGATGCCCGAGCCCGGCCCCCGACCATATCCATCTTCCAGAGTTGAGGAGGGGACTGCAATTCAGAGCATAAGTGGAAATCACGTTATTCTTCTCGCGAACTACAAACCTGGTCCCCGAACGAAAAGAGGACGTGGGCGTTGCTCCTTGACAATTTAACGTCACTGACATCTCGAAAAAGTGGTATTTGACTTTAAAGGTCACACGTCAGGCATGTTATTAGGATGTAAGCGAGCAGCGGCCCACCTTTCACAGAGACGTGTACGCGTATTATACACTGAAATATTTGTGAGCGATCGTCGATTTTCACACGGGCGAGTTACTTGCCTATAATGCGCTTTTCCACTCTCGTAGGACGACTGGGACGGAGTCCGTTAGGCGCTTCCCCTATAGGACCGATGCCTATTATCCGATGGCCGTCCGATGTAACAGCGATTCGTCGAAGTTGAACACGCCCGAAGCTGTAAGTTTCGAGAACCTTCTCGGATGCTTTGTATTAATTCTGACTTCGAAAATGTAGTATTTACCTCTCCGTCTTTGTCCTAAGGAATGTCACGTTTCGTTATCATGTGTAATCCGGACAGGACGTACTAGTTTCGCAATTTCGTTCCCCTCAACAGACAGAATGGACACTTGTCGATAGTTATGTTTTGAAATTGATGTAAAGAGTACGATATCACTCACTATCTCCAAGAGGCACCCATTGCAAGAAGTGGACGATATGTGGCCGACGGATCGTTTTCAAGCAAACGCCATCCTGTGATACTGCTTGAGAACGGAACGGAAAATTTAAATCACAGCTTACTTTCGTCCAGATTTTGATGCCGCGGGGAGACCTAGTCAACACGTGGGTACCACACGCGGACCTATTGATGTAATTAATCATCGTGATGACAACAACAGCGTCATTAAAATTCGCAGACCAGAGTATTTGCTCCGTAAAGCCTCTCTCATGGTGGAGAACATGGTGATCAGCAGATGGTTCCTTAAGCACATGACGGTCAGGTTTTTCAAACTTTGTTGTGAGAGACAAATGGGCACTTACGGCGACATTGAAGATACATGCTGTTTTATCCCAACTATCATCAACGTAAACAAGGGTACTTCACAATGATAAGAAAACTTTTGGGATTACCTTGCCGTTGCGAGGTACTTTCCATCCGGAGAGAATTGCAAATCTCTCACGAGCGCTTGATGAGGGGAGATGTCTTCTGTGCATTCCAGATTCCGCAGCTTCTGAGAGATAGTAGAGAGACCATAACGTCGAATTACTTTCCCTCCTAATGAAGGGGTGCGAGAATCAGGGCTTGGATGCATCATCCAATCGAGAGACTGCGAGCCGTGAGTTCTTGGGTATGATTGCATCGATATAACGGTCCGAACAGCCTTCTTGAAGCGTTCTCGGGCACGAGTTCGTCTAGCTTGATCCTGGTCATCTGCTGTTTCCTCCGAGACAATTGATACCACATCCTCCTGAGTAGAGGGAGATGCTATAGAGACGCCACATGATGTCAGGGCTGCGCTCTGGACATGTTCATCATATGTCGTTCTCTGAAATGATTCAGCAGGAGGGGGTCGCCGAACGTACAAAGGAAGTCCACGGAAACTTGAGTAAAGACGGTGGGTGATCGTTCGTATGGGCGCAGTGATATGTCTGATTGTTTCCAACATGAGGTCCTCTAACCATATATGACCTTGATGGTGTATGGATACAAATCGTTCTGACACAATCCAGCACAAGGAGGAAGCCAGTCCGATGGATGTGACGGTCTGTCACAATTATATAAGAACTCGGCGTACGTCAGCATAAACAATAACCATACCGCGATTATTGTGATCAGGATGGGCGTGACCATATTCTACAGGATAACAAATAGTAAGTACTTTGTCGTGAAAAGCAAGAGTTTTTACGTACATTACTTATCGTGTATGTGACCAATATGAGTCCCACGAAAAAGAACATGACTGCGTTGACGAGTAACACGAGAGGTGATCGCCTGATCCATGTCAATACCCACCAGGGCACTCTGTGATTTGGCGAGCGGCTTAATTTTCCAAGTCATTATAACTCAAGTGGGCGAAAATAATACGAAGTGCTCACTGTATGGCCTGCGTCCACGCCAAACCAAGTAGACTGGTCGCTATTGCTGCAACGCTGAAAACTAGCGACGAAAACCAAAACGCATTTACACATATTGCCAGCTTAGCCTTGGTGTGATCATATGATAGTTGTAAAAGTGTCGCGGTGACACCCGAAAATATCGTACCAAATGTTGCCAGATTAGAAAGATTAGAGGCTGCATACTGTTGTGAGAGCTGAATAGTTGGGACACCTGTATTCGTCATTTCAATTGTCAGTGAATGCCTGTTTTAAAATTGTAATTACCGATATCTATGAACATTGCCAAATTTGATGCGACAACGTCGATATGACTTTCGATTTCCACTGTAAGTCCGTGCACGTATTGTTGTACAGAAGCGAGCCGAAAATGGCCTATGTGAAGGATTCAGATTAGTAACTTTGGACGTTGCATATTTTATGTACCTTTATACTCCGTCAGACAGGAAGCACGATACTTTAATTTTGTTAACCTAGTGTTACGGAAAAAAAGAGTACTTACTTCGAGTTCTGCTACGAAGGCGTGGATCGAACTATTTACCGCATCATCCCTGAACTCAGGGAAATCGTTCAAACTATGCAATAGCATGCGGAGATCGAGCGCAAAACCTTCCAATTCCTGGGGGATAGCTTCAGTCGCCAACCCATCCTCTGCTATGAACGCTTGAAATTTGAGAGCTTCAGAGTGAACCTTGCCCCGTCGATCTACGATATTTGGATTCACAAGCTTGTCTTTCGACTGGCGTGCGATCCTCCGAGGAAATAGATTGGCTGCGTTGTCGCGGAAGATAAACAAAAGTCGTACGAGCCGTTCACGAAGTCTGGATGCAGCCAGTAGCAGTGCAGCCGAACTGCCCAACTGACGGGCGCCGTTATCAAAATTACGGAGCTGGAAGGCCGCATAAATACAACGATATTTCGTACAAAACTACTGACCTCTTTGTCCAATCTTTCAACGCACCTTTGAAGGTCAACCATGGTCAGTCAAAAATTCGAGTGGTCAGACGAATTACTCACTTCTCAAAACTCACGAAGGTCTCTATACCTTCTAAAACGAGCTTTTCTTCCGAGCTAGCCGGATCTTAAAAATGGTCAACGGAGAAAGCCCTCAAAATAGATATTCTCACATTGTTTCTGCTTGTCTGAACCCTGTTGCGGTTTCCCCTCAACTGTCGCAGACTCGCGAGCGACAAGCTCTCTTAGCACTTCGAGAAACTCATTTAACGTTTGTTTCCTCTTCGAGTCCAAGATAAGCTCAGGATCTATTGCGCGACAGTAAGTAAGAAAACATGGTCTATAATTTTTGAAAGTACCAGGAGGCATAATGAATCCAAAGGGCTTTTCGGATCGTTGAGTCGCGTTGAAGAAAGATGAAAGTGATTTGGAGTACGTAGTCTTTATAACACAGATACCTTTAAGGTCCGCATGTCCTGAAATGGCATACGGGAATAGACACCACGCAACCATGAGGTTAATTAAGAGGCCGCAACGAGAAAGTTATCCCACAGCGGATGTCCATCATGTCGGGAAAGCAAAGTCATAGAACGTTCGCCGAAAGTCCACGAGCAGATGCAGTACCGCGGAAGGACCAAGAAAACTGCCGTAAGGGGCCGGATAACACGGCCAGGCGTGAGGCAGTGGTGTTAATATTTTCAATGGACAACGGAAACTATCTTCCCCGATTCTGGCCATTGGAGCCACAACTGGCAGATGCCATGAGGTGTGCCGAGAACTTCTTGCAAAAATTAACTGTGAAGTAACTTCAGGGATAATACGGCCGACGGCAAAGCATTACGCCATATGATAAGAACTCAGGAGGGATGGTGTAGAAAACGATCTATCAGCACTCCGCTTTACTACCTGATTAAACATGATACTCATAGTGCGAGACCTTGGTCAAAGACTTCAGTCCGCTGTAAGGTATGCAAAGCGAGGCACTCGCACCTCAGGATAGGATCCATCGGAAAGATATGGCTGCGGCACTATCCTTTGACCACCCGGGAGGTACTTCTCCTCGTTAATATGAACTTCCAATGAGTTGTTTGATTTATGAAATCGCAATCAGAGGTAAGGAAAGTTTTATTTCAAATTCTTACTGAGATAAGCCTCGTCTCTCCGAAGTGCACATTTCAATGTAGTGGTGTTGATCAAACCACAACGGCCAGGACCAATGGATTCTCTCGTCGCATAAACGTTGGCTCTTCGCTAAGATAGAGTCGTGAGTACCAACCGCAACTGGACGCGATACCAAGAAGCACGTATTATGAAAGCCGCATACCGACTCGGAGTACGGTGACATCAATTATCTTGTGGTGCGACCTAGGCCTAACAGTCTTCACAGGGACCGGTGATTACTTGCACCAATGACTGAACGCCTGGATTTCATGGTGAAACGAACACTTCTCCTGTTCTATGGTGAAAAAAAGTCTTCTGATAGAGCGCCACGGTGAATTGTGCACGAGGTATCCTCGCTTTAGTAGATAGAAGTCGTGAGAAGTGCAAAGGCCTTCTATCAGTGTGACCAGACAGATAAGGTGCATTAAAGCGTTAAGACGCTTGAGCCTTGCGTTACAAAGTTTACTGGATAAACACAAGGCTGCCGCAAGCACTCAAGGTGAGTACGGGAACTTGAGAAATTACCGCACCTTATTTGCTAGTGTGGGAATTGCTCCAACGATGGCTTGAATTGGACGTCTGCAGGCTGCCAACTGGCAAAGTAGTCCAAGGCCTTCTAAGGGTTATCTTAGCACGAGGGAAAGACCAGAAGACGACGAGGCAAGAGTACTAATTTTGTGCGATGATAAAATGATACAGTTTTGTCGTTATCAGCACTCTTGTATGACGACAAGCGTACTAGGCAGGATTTATGTAAATCGTCTCGGCCGAGGAAACAAAAATATTATTAGATGTGTGCCGCATCTCTGCTACACCAGAGCCCATGCGCATAATATTCTGCAAACCTGCTTCCGGACTGGAAGAAAAAGACTTAACGTCCGACTTCGACATCTTTACCGTTCACTTCACCCTGAGATCTGAAAAAAGATAGGATTATGCTTTTGCAAATCGACATTTGAAAACTGAAATCGCTGAGTTCTACGAAGCACATGATATGAAGTACATTCTCTTCAGCATAGGAGGCAAAAAGGCACATCGTACAACCATCTCACCGCAGCATTAACCACGCAGCTTCGACTTACTTCCCCCGGCAAATAGCGATCAGATCTGTCCTGGCCGATCCCAATCCTCGCCTTAAATGTTCGGTGAGTTGAGCCTGTTCCTCACGGCGATCGCGCACTTGGTCGTCCAGACTGGAGTAAAGAGTGACGTTGGCTCTGTATAATGAACAGGAGGTGTGATCATGATCAGTGACTCCACCGCAAGACAGCGACATAATATATTTGAAAAAGCACGCACGTGAGACTCTCCTTGACGGAGTCAATGATATCTTTAAACTGGTTGGTGATTTCTACACGACTGCAGTTAGAACACATTTGAACAACAAATCAAATGTTGTGTGAACGAGAATTTGACGGAGATTTGACAGGCAGAAAGGGGAAGAAGCAATATAATGCAAGGGGGACAGGGGGAAACAACTACACACCTTCAGCGCCTTGAAGCCACTCTTCCCTCGAGCAGGTAGACCACTTCTGAACGAGGCCCATGAAAGTATCCACATCCAGTAACGTATCCATGTTTGCGAACATGCCATCAAGAGAGATTTCCTCCGCGGAACCCGCGCCAGGTTGGCCCGTGGGAGGTGAAGATTGAGGAGCCGTATCGTCATCAAGATCAGGCTGCAGTCGAGTATGGTCGATGCCGGAGTGGCTGCTGTCATCGGGACGACTATCTGACAATTCGTGGGGAAACTTGTCGATTCTGACTCGTTTGACTCTACGCATATAATCAATCTCGTCAGGGGGTGAGAAATTGGCCTCGTCCTCCTGAGCACCTTGGATGGTGCGCTTCACCCTGCGCAACACGGGATGGGCGGCAGCGTTTGTCCTGCGAGCGTCAAGCGATGCTTCGTCCTCGTTTGCTGCCTCTGGCTCGACGTCCTCATGAATTCTCTCAAGGAGTTGCGCAGGCTGCGACTTGGCTAGAGAAGATTTGTTGGAGCTGAATGTGTGCTCGTCATCGTGCTTGCCATCGTGAATAGACCCATAGCTTGGAACAGGCGCCGCAATGACACGAGAAGTAGATATCAACCCAGAGACGATACCTGCAGTGGATATATGCGCGTCTGTGAGACCAGAAATAGTCAAATCGCCTCTGTAGGATGCAGATTTTGCCATAGGTGACGTGGGTCGAGCAAAGGATATGCCAGGATTGGCTGGTGGAACAAAAGGCGAGCCTTTTCCACAGAATGGAGAGCTAGAGCTGCGTTGGATGGCCAAGGATTGCATGTCAGGACGATGTATACCGCTGAAACGCCCCGACGCGCTAGAGAACGACGCGTCAACGGCCGCTTGATGATCCCCGGAGCCGTGTTTGCCAGCGAGTTTGTGCTTCCCGATAATCCCTGCGAAGCGAGGCCTTTTCTCCGAGTCTGTTTTGGGTTGCATCGAGTCAAGTTCATTTTGGTTACCGCTAGGACGTTGAGGCTGGCCTAGCGAATTCTGATTATGGAGCGGCATATTAAACGGGTTTTCAGCGTCTGTATGGGTGGAAGCACGAGATGCTGAACGAGGAACAAAAGACTGGCGGGCGCTCATGACTACCGCGAACTGTAAAAAAAGTCAAACGTCGAAATTCAAAACGAGAAATCGTTGATGACACTTATCTTATCAAGTTGTGATTAAATATTTTGGATTGTTTGGATCGAAAGCTTTTGCCAAACAACTCGCACTTAGTACGCTTACTCGTCGGGTCGCCTTGCTACCGTGCATTTAATTCGCTGAGTGGAATATTTAATGATTTTGCCATGTCGCAGTGAAGTAAACTTCGAGGGAGTAATTGCCTGTTATGAAGAGGCTGTATATTCATGTAAGGACTCGGGCTCGATCGTTAATATCAATACCACCACGCTGAAACAACATGGCGCTTTCCCGCCAATCAGTCACAGAAGTATTTGGTTTCGTGGCGACCGTGATGACACGGAAAGGGATAGCCATGATTGCACTGCTATGTTATTTCTAGAAGGGTCGTTATTGAAATTATATGGTCCTCACCAGAAGTTGTTGTGTCTCAAGCATGGTCAATATGTCATATGCATGTGTGCATCACACGAGGCGTGCTCAAATTCAAAGAGAATAAACAACCGCCACTTTCAACCCAACTACCCCTCCCCCTCGTCCATCCCACCCAGGTATTTCAGCACGGCAAACGGGGCATCTGGATATGATCGGTCAAATGATGAATTGCAATGGCGTAAAAAGTGTAAAAGATAAAGATTGACCTTGGAACAGGGGCTCTGTCCATAGCAATCACCATGTTCCGCTTCACTGTGGATTTAACAGCGGCAAATAGGCAAGCTCCACAGCAAATGTGACCGCAAGGTGTCAGAGTTGCGTTAGTGGGAGGTGAGAAGCAAATGGGACACGTATAAGCGGATAGTAGCTCCGGTGCAGACGATGAGGATGATGCTGCGTTCAGGGGGGGAACATGTGGGTTCTGATTTGTAGCTGGTTCGGGTGTGAATTTACCCATCATCTCTAGGGGAATGGGATCATCGATGACGATTGGGCGCAACGAAGGCAGAGTTCGACGCGGTGACAATGTAGGGCTAACTACAACTACGTCATTTGAAGGAACATTGGTGATTTCGGAGACTGATGAAGATGTTCCCCTTTGATCCACGATGGCACTCTCAGTTCCTGCATCTGTAGCATCTGAGCAAGCCTGGGATATTACTGACTCTTGGGTGAGCGGTGGTTGGTCAACCAGTTCATCATCCAAGGATACAGATGATCCTAGCATAAGGTCGGAAGCCATGTTCCAACTAGACTGCAGTGAGCTTGATGCGACTTGTGACGAGGTGCTTGCCTCTAAGACATTGTTCTCCGAGGAATTGGAGAGCAGACTCGTCGGACGTGCTTCATAGAGCTGGTGCATGTCGTTCTGTTCTTCACCACTAACATCAATTCTGCGTCTCTTTCTCCTGTGATGTGGGATGTCTTCATCTGCCTGATCTGGTAGCAACGTCATATCTTCGTTTGGTCTCGGTCCGCTACTCTGTGAACGAGAAGCCTGTGAGCTACTCCTGGAACTGGTAGCAGAGCGCGGAAGACGGTTTCTGCTAGTAGAAGGTGCAGGTAGCGGTGTAGACAATGTAGAAGACGTTGTCAGATTGGTCGTATCTGAATTTTTGTGTTTTGTCGTCATTGTCAATGATAGCAAACTCGATGAAGTCGATGATCATCAGTAAGACGTAAAAGTATTATGACCATAGGTATTCGGGGTCTTTAATAATGACACGTCGGTTTGATGCTCTGGCACACTTGTTCACTACTATTAACATCAGCTTGCTCTCCTACTGCAGAGCTCACCATCATCGATGTCCGGGGAGAATCAACCCTCCATACTAGACCAGCTCGATGCTGCTGTTCCCCTCGCACGTTTTGACGCCTTCCCAAAACTTCCTTCAACCTACAAGGCCCGCTCAGAATCCCGCGGTTTCTTCACTCTTTTGGTCGCTCTCATCGCAATCCTACTTGTATTAAATGATATTGGAGAGTATATTTGGGGCTGGCCAGATTATGAATTCAGCATAGACTCCAAGGGTCAGTCTCATTTGAATGTGAACGTTGACGTGGTAGTCAATATGCCTTGTGAATGTAAGTATTTCCACTTACTTTATCACGCTGCTTCTGCCCCTGAACCGGAAACTTTTTGCAGATCTCAGTGTGGACTTGCGCGATGTAGTTGGCGACCGCTTATTTCTCAGCAATGCGTTCCGTCGGGATGGGGTACGTTTGATTTTTCTTCCGCAAAGCGAACATTCATGTAATTCACCTCAACAGACTCGTTTCGATATTGGCCAAGCAACAACGCTCAAGTAAGTCACGATTGCTACGAGTATTTCTACTTCTTATGCATCAATCCCAACTCAGGGAACATGCCAAGGCTCTTTCTGTTCGCCAGGCAATCTCGCAATCCAGAAAATCGCGCGGATTCTTCTCTTGGTTCCGCCGCACTGAACCCGAGTTTCGCCCCACATACAACCACGAGACGGATGCAAGCGCATGTCGTATTTATGGCTCCCTACAGGTCAAGAAAGTGACTGGTATGTTGACCCCCCACGCTCCTTCTTCTCTCATTGATATATAACAACCAGCTAATTTGCATATTACAACGCTCGGACATGGCTATAATAGTCACATGCATGTGGAACACAATAGTGAGTAGTCGCGAGTATGTTTATTGAGTATGGTTGTTACAATATTTTCAAGAGATGAACTTGTCCCATGTGATCACCGAGTTTTCGTTCGGTCCATACTTCCCCGATATCTCCCAACCCCTTGACTATTCATTCGAGATCGCAAAAGAACGTACGTCTTTTCCATCTCGGTTCATACTCAGACTTATCGACTAACAGCGTTCATGGCGTACCAATACTTCTTGCATGTGGTTCCGACCACATACATTGCCTCCCGAAGTCAGCCTCTGGAGACAAACCAATACAGTGTAACTCACTACGTTCGTAAGCTGGATCACAATGAAGGAACTCCCGGTATCTTCTTCAAGTTTGACCTCGACCCAATGGTTATCACCATCCACCAACGCACAACCTCGTTGGTACAATTCATAATACGGTAGGGGGATCTTATTGTTTTATTACTCAAAAATGACACATCCCCGTAGCTGCGTAGGCGTCATCGGTGGTGTTTTCACCTGCGCGCAGTATTTCGTTCGTGTCGCCATTCGCGCAGCGGACGCCGTCTCAGGAGCAGACACCACTCCGGGAATTGTCGCAGCCGAAGCTACCGGCGTGAAGCGAAAATGGGCCGGCGGACAGCTACGTGTACGTTCCACTGCACAGAACTCGACGAATGTCGTTAGACAAGGCCCAGGCTGGGTCGTCGAGGGTTCCTCTTCACCGTACGCATCCTACGCGAACACACCCGCCTCAGGTGGATTCACCGGCCAAAGTCCATATCCCTATTCACCATATTTATCTCCACCTACTTTAACTAGTAGTACGAGTGTCCCACCGACACCAGGAACAGGTGTCGGACTTGGCTTTGGCGCGGCGGCGTTTGGCCCACCGCCGAGTGGGAGAGGGCATAGGCAGGGGAAGCCAGTTAACACCTCACGAAGTGTTAGTGGAGGGCTCAGTTCGCCCCTCGTCGTTCCTTCACCGATTCCGTCACTGGCTGAGGTGCTACCAGGCCCACCGCCCTCGGGTAAGAAGGATGATTAATGGGATACTTAATTAGTACAGTACTGCGTACTATTACTGAGAAATGGGTCGCTCCGAGAGTTGGCTGCCAATAACAACTCACATGTGGCCAATATTGGAAGAGCAAGAGTCAGCTGTGACGCTTAAGAAGCGGACACACGTACTAGTCGTCTGGGTCATAGACTTAAGGCTCCAGCAGGGTAACTGGCCGAACTAAGTTACATTCGGTGGGGGAAAGATCAACTGCCCTACGAGTAGATATATGACGGTTTATATATATACTGTAGGGCAAGAATACTATCCAGGAATCAGATAGAACGAAAGTAAATGAGAAGGTAAAAAGAACATCACCAAAATTCCCCAATTCTGAACTTGCCTCATGCGGACACGGCCTGTTAATTATTTGGTTCGAGCTTGACCGAGTCGTACTTCCGATTTCAACAGCGATTGTAATTAAACTAGAGAATTGTATGCGAAATATGTTTGATCCAAGCTATCGTATCGTATGCGCCGAGAGGTAGTGATCGTAAGCTCATGAACACAAGTACAAGCATTGTAACACGTGAACAAATGTACGAAAGCATACCGAGTCTCATAAAAACTGTCATGAAAGCACTGATCAATGAGTCCATAATACATCCGCACGAGTGGCGATCCCGTGTCATCAATAGTAGGCCCGTGAAAGCAGGTAAAGCAAATGCGAAAAACGTCATTAGCGGTGAACATGTCGTCCCAATGGAAGCCACACGCCATAGTATCTGTTCTGTGTGTGGCAGAAAGACATTCCAGCCCAGACAATGTACCGCTCCAAACACCACCCCACTGAAACATCCGGCGACGAATGAGATCAAACTCGGGCTATATTTCGGGTCATCGAATCTAAATGGAAGCGGACGCACTAGTGATCGGCGTGTATGTGAACTTGTACGCAGCTAAATCAGAATAAGTCCTGCCAGGAATATTGATGACATACTAGTAGTAATTATTTTCCAAGTTGCCACATAGCGAAGGATCAGCCTCCGAGTTCCAATGAACAATATAAGGACGTCGTATGTCCTTCGGCTTCTTCCACCAAAAGGGGTAGGCAATGCAGGCCAGAGCGGCTACGCCTAGGGTGTCAATTTCGAGCAGCGTTACCGGGAGGCCCTGGGCAGTACGGGCGATGAGCTGGACGACAAACCACACCAGCTGGAGAATAGCAATGCATTTGTATAGCCCATCGCCCTTACTCCGGTCTTCGATTTCTGCCTCCGTAATGACAGGCATCTCCACGTATCCCTTGTAGACAAACTCCAGGAGTTCACTGGGTGTGAGAGTGGCCCGCGGCTCACCCTTGACGTACAGCACGAATCCACCCATCAATACGAAAAACCCGTGCGTCAGTGTCCATTCTGTGAATGGCACCAGTTTCGCGTTAGTTTTTTCAAGACAATTGAAGAGTCTGGGTATGTGGCTGACCGGTGCGTGGACTTCTGCTTGAATTAAGGATGTCACCAAGTGACATACCAGTGACTGCCCGCTCGCTCTGGCATATGGCTTGATCGTCGCTATGGGACTGGACGCGTCGAGCACCAAAGCCACGATTGAGATCCTCTGCAGCTCTCTGAGCATAATGAAACTGCGTTATGGCCCAGACGATCATGACTTCAGGTATGAACAACGCTACAACCATGAGGCATAGACGATAGAAAATAATGAGAACCACCCCATCGTTAACACCCGGAATGTTTGGATGTATGGCAGTCCATGTGCAGGCAAACAAAGTTAAGCCACAGCTCAAGAGAATGTCCCACAAGGTTCTGGTATCGGAGGGTGAGAAGTTGCTGGAATCAAGTGTATGGATATAGGTATCGTTGAGACTTGGGAGTGAAGCGCAAACAAACGGAACGCAGAAGAGGACAGCGTAAAGTACTAAGAGGGTCATCGAGTCGAGGGAACGTCAACTGCTCATTCTGCTCTCTTATGATGAGTGTAGCCACTTGTATTAATCCATGCACGAGGCATCAGTCTTCTCAGAACAAGCGGACTTTCAAAACAATATAGCTGACCTAGGTCGAATGCAAAACTTCTTCACATATTCCCGCTGCGGTTTATCGCTATAGGCTGACCCGCGTTTATCTAGGAGGTCGGAGATGGCTTTCGAGGTCTTGAGGGATTGGTTGAATATGCGGATGTGTGTTATGGGTACACAGTTGCGTGTCCATTTGAATGCGATGAGCCAGGGTTCTTTTCGAGTGAAATCGAGGATGTTGCCTCTGATTAGGAGGGGCTTTGGACCTGGGGGGTTGGTACGAGTGAGGCGGGAATATGCGAGGAGTGGGAGTTAGAGTACCTATCAAGGCCATTGACTGACTTCTATTCGATCCAAGCCTCAAGGCGACTTGTCACGCGTTATCACGCCTGAGGCCTGAGGCTTCGAACTTGTTTTAATTGGAAACCTTGGACCCAATTTTCTTAACATCAGATCCTCCCCCCACTGCTTCAACAACCGGAAAGGTGTGCTACATATACATATGCCACATTCCTTTGGTGCTGACTAGCAGTACGAGCGTCCCACAACGACACCAGAAACAGGCGTCGGACTTGGCTGCGGTGCGGCGGCATTTGGGGAGCGCATAGGCAGGGAAAGTCAGTGTTAGTGGAGGGCTCAGTTCGCCCCTCATCGTTCCCATGTCACCGGCTGTGGGGCTACCAGGCCCACAACCCTCGGGTAAGAAGGATGATTAACGGGATACCGTGACTGAGTACTGTGCTCTATTACTGAGAAATTTGAGTCGCCCGGAGAGTTGGCTGTCAATAACAACCAACATATTGGAAGAGTGCTCACGACCCTTTGGTAAGCAACATACAACTTGAAGTCGAACATTTACAATTAAGATCCATGGCACCTAAGCACAACGTGGTTCTGCCAACCGCTCTTAAAACACCTGCCATCCAGAAATTGACTAACAAGCGCGTCATTCTCGCTTCTGCAAGCCCAATCCAGTCGATCTCCCATGAGCACTTCGATATTCTTGACATGTTGACCCTTGCTCTGCTCCAAACAATTGTATATCATTCCTCGCAATACCGGTATCATATCTATCGTTTAGTCTCTAAGCTCTATCTAACCTTGCTTTTTTGTTTGTGCTTGTTTTCCTTTCAATTCCCGTTAGTATGTGGGGAGGGGCAGCCACGTCAAAAAAAGTGTGACATTATGTAAGCGAATATCGTCCGAATACATGGTCAACAAAATCACAGGAGGGTAAAGGTATATACGACGGTGATATACAAAGCACAATAGGTGCGCGGAAGTACCAAGATTATGTTTTGGAACATTGTAAGCATTATATGAGTATTGAAAGTCCAGAATGACCTTACTACAAGCCTTCTTCGTCATCAGAGTCCCCCATTGCACACTGTGCATCCTCCTGTTGCCCATCCATCACATTCTCGTCCTGGATCTTGGGTCTGACCCCACCACAGACATACCGGCCCACAGCAGCTGTCAAAATAGCCTTCTTTTGCGGTCCATTCTTCCCTTTCAGACGCTTGGCTGCAGGCACTTCCATGTCAAACTGACGATGCCACCGAATCTGCAAGTCGACGTCGACGACACGCATCTTCGCAATTTCATCTGGCGTTACACGAGGTACAACAGCTGCGAGTTTGGCTGATGATGCTTCACGATGTTTCTTCCTCTTCGCATTAATCTCGCGGTTCTGGTGTACCACCTAGTTATCATATTTCACCTGTGCAAGTCGGCGTTTCTTCTCCTCTGTGTAGTGGCGAGAGCATTTTGAGTTGTCTGCACTTGCAAGGATGCTTCGGTCATGGATGCTCGTGCTTCATCCAAATGTGACTGGAGTTTGTTGGTGCGAGATTTTGTACGTTCGTGACATCGTTTCTTGTTCCTATAGCGGCTCTGGGAGGTATTCTTGCGCTTCTTCTCTCGTTCGAGCTGTGTATTTGATATTGTAGATGCAGAGGAAGAAGTTGTCGCCAGAGGAGCAATATTCTCCTTGTTTTGTGCATGTTGGTAAGTTGTGTGGGACTTCATCAGTGCAGTGACTTGCATCTGAGCTGCAGAGCGCTTCTTGGATGGTTTACAATGATTGTACTTGGAGCATTTTGACATTACTGGCCTACAGGGTGTCTTGGAGTTTGCAATGTGACGCGTCGCGTCGCGTCAACGTCGCTTACTAATCACGTTCTCCGTGCACTCAAAGACTTTCCACCAGCATCATACCACATCACACGGTAAAGGAGGTTATCATCGGGATGACAATTAAACGACTTGCTGGTTGTATTCTAGGTAGAGTTTAATGAAAATTCCCGTGTCCAAATGCTTCTATCGAGAGTGTGAGCTATCAGAAGCGCGTCCTTTTAAAATCAGTTACCAAGAATACAATCAACCAGTCAATCCACGCCTATGTCTTGTCATAACCCTTGTCTCAAAATCCTGTTTTCAAGCTGCAACGTGTGATATATTTCTTGACCGTTTGTTATGGCACACACCCGCAACAGGTAATCACAGTCGGAGCTTGAATTTGACTGAGCGTTGCCCCTCCCCATAGTATGCCCTTCGCCTCATAGCACTCTACCCTTAGGATTGATCACGCCATTAACACGACATTCGTAACTACGTTCTCTGCGCTAATACATATCCATGTGCAAGACCCAAACAGCGCCAAGTACTTGCCCTCTGAACTGTTTCTTTGAAGTGTGGGGGTATACACACGGCTCGCAATGTCTAAGCTTCAAGCATCGGTCGGAGTCCTTTTTCAAGCACGTAAATATTACATTTTCTAATTCGCACAAGGCGAATGACGTTCTCAATCACGAGGCGTAGACTAGGCATGCGTTACATGGCAGGAGCCTCGCCTCTAAATTCAGCTCTGTTCCTTCTGTGGCTGTATCACTCTCAACAAAGCGCGCCAGTAACTGTCAAAAAAAAATCAGAATTGTGTAAGAAGTTTGCGCGGTAAGTTATGAGTCAATTTATACCATTCAGATTCATGTGAACGCTCTGACACTTCAACGATAGATGACTGGAAGACAGAAAATACAGATGTCTTCCTTAGACTGGGTTTTGGCGGTCCGAGAACAGATAACACCACGGGGGAATCAATACGTGCAGCTTGCACCTATTGCTCAGTTGCCAAATGAGATTCTTCTCAACATATTTCGTCAAGGCACTGGAGAAGCCCCTAGCACAAGTAACTCCCTTCCATTCGAGTTGGCCGTTTCTGGAGTGTGCAGGGCTTGGCGCCACCTTGCCCTCTTACCAGAGTTTTGGACCAACGTATTCATCACATCCAAGACACTACCGGCACATCTCTTGTTATACCTTAGGCGGTCATCACGTCATCTCATCACCGCCACGTTTTGTCATTGGCCATTTATTAAGCGTCGCCGAATTCATCTGTCGAGCGAGGCGTTTCTTCCTGACATTCTTAATATCCTTTGTTCCAAGGCTTGGCGGCTACGCAGCCTAAGAGTTTGGAATATCTCTGATTCGGATCTTTTGACAATCTCGTCAAGGCTCGCCGATGCATTCGCTCCCGCCCTCACAGAAGTCTCAATCCAAGCAAATCCAACACTCTCGCAGGTGTACCATCGGATCTATAGTAAACTTCAAGTTCCATTCCTACACAACAACTGTGCGCCATCTTTGTCCTCGTTGGAAATAGATCACTTCAACATGCAAACGTACGCTGTGCCTTCTGGTTGGTTCTTCAGCTTGCGATCGCTGAGGTCCTTGACTGTGCGAACGGACGACTTTTTTTCACGCCCGCTGACTGGCGAGGACCTGCGGCTACTTTTGCTATCGGCCAATGCACTAGAACACCTCGCATTTTATGGTCCAGTTGTTGATTGGGACGATGATGATGAAGAGGGTGACAGTATCAGTGCACTCTGTTTACGAACGCTGATAATCCATTGCGAACCGTCCTGTTACCGATATCATTTTACTCTACTCTCCGCCTTACATGCACCGCTTCTCGAACATCTCGAGATCCCATGGCAAGACGATGTGGGTGTGGAGGATAGGCCAGAGGAGCTAACGGAATGCTTCTTCCGAAGTCAAGGGGAACCAAAATTTCCACGTGTAAAACGACTTCGGCTGCATGATAGCACGGCTGAAGGATGGCTACCTGCTGCACCATTCATCAGGGCATTTCCGAACGTGGAGGAGCTTGTACTAGGAGCAGCGGATGTGATGTATATCTCGTCTGCGTTGCTGAATTTGGTGATACCCAACACCGACACCAAACGTGGGACTCTTGCACCTGGTGCTTGGCCTCGTGTCAAGACTATTTTGTTGGATGGCTTGACAGTGAAGTCATGGAAGCGATGCGCTGGACCTCTCAGACGGTGGATGCGTGCCGGGGGACACGAAGGTCCGCTCGTCACGATACTGAACTTCTGTCCAGGCGAGATTGTCGACAGGGCACCCAGGGGCTGTAAAACTGCCCATATCAATGCCCATGTGCTCAAAATACTACAGATGGGGTCTCGTGTAGGTAGCGCTTACAAGTTAGCGGCGGAAAAAGGTATCTGGTACTTTTGTTAGATTGTTTCCCAAATCTCGGATGCACAATGTAAAACCACATAGCTGCGAACATTTGCATTTTATCGATTATCAGCTGTACCTTGCATGAACTTATTGCGGCTGCGGGCTATGTGGACAGTTTTGGAACTATCGCTGTTAACCCGCCTTGTAGTAAGCTCGAAAGTTTCAACCGACATGCTTTTCACAGTTGTTCGGCGCTGGCTCTCCAAGGTAATTGTTTTTCAGTTAGTTTGATTCCCTGCCGGTGCGCTAACCTTGTTGCAGAAAAACTACCGACAGCACTTCAGTTAACATTGCCAGGCCACTGGTATATCCGTGATATGCGTGCAAATACACTTACCGTGTTGCGACGTGGCGTAACTCTTTTGAAGCGAAAGTGTCGGTTCCTGCCTTCTGTTACTTTCATTGCGTTAGTGGTTTTTTGGAGATGCGCACTTACTCAAAATGACGCTCGAAGCAGTGTGCCAAAGTTGACTATACCTTGTTGATAGATCTCACGGCTCATTTTACTTGTACACTATGCCGATGTTCCGCAGCAACGTCGAGGAGTGAAAATTCCACTTGGCACGCGGCCTATTTTGGTGCACATTGAAAAATCAAATGTCCAGTGTTACCCCTAACATATCTTGCTCTGGACCAGCTCAGTGACGATACCAGTTGTAGAGAAGTACGTCCATCACTCTAGTGACAATCCTTCATCTCACTAATATTTCACACTCACTAGTAAATCAATAGCGCGAAGAAGGAGAATGACGCAGTGCTCCTTTTCATCGCTCCCTGCAGAGACAGTGTGTAGCATTCTCAAGGCTGTTCTAGACGACATTGTCCAAGATGACATGATGGTAACTCCCGAACCGGAGCATCAGCTGCTGGCAGGAGGTCTGACGTTCCCTCACACCATGGCGTCAGTCTGCAAACGCTGGCGAGATATCGTATCTTCTACCCCTGAGCTGTGGACTCGGATCTTTTGGATGATAGACGTACTATACGACGAGGGCCGTCATCCCATCAAGTCACAACTGGAGAAGTCGGGCAGCTATCCTGTTCATCTAACCATAATCAACTCGTGGAGTCACAGCCACGGAATCCGTGTTATTTTACACCACATTGAACCGTATCTTCAACGACTCAAGAGCCTTAGAATGGCTAACTTCTACGAGGCACACCACCGACCATACTTGGACACGCTGATAGGATATGCGCCCCAGCTCGAGAGTTTACACTTGACAGACGGGAAACATGTTCATCATTGCACCGACTCAAAATCACGTTTGAAACTTGACTGTCCCGCTCTCAGAATCTTTCGCATCGACAGAATTGTAGCTTGCAACCTCAATCACCGGTGGTTGAAGAACAATTTGACTCATGTTGAGCTCGTGACCATTTCATGCGGACCTGATAGCCATGACCAGACATATGGCCCGCAGGCGGTGAAGCTTTGTCAAGCGTTGGAGGCAATTCCACGCCAAATACCTTGTCTTACCCTCGACAACCTGCGACTCTCGCATTCATGTTTGCCATCCATACACCAAGCCGGCGTCGGCATCGGGGCAGAGCAAGTGATTTTGCGCATAAGCATCGACGCTTTGGCTGCCATCGATGACGGTTGTCAGACAATCGTTATCGAACAATGTAATTCTGTCCATGATCTTCAAAGTATATCGTTACCCTCCTCATCAAAATCACTGGTGTTGGACGGGTGCAGTAGCAAAGAACCGCGGCGGGTACCCGATGCCCGTACGTGGGATGGCGATACAGTCACCATCACGAACAGTCACTCATCCTGCATAGAGATCATCCTACACCTCCTTGGCGCACCTTTCAATGATCATACTTGTTACCTGTGGCGCCATGTCACCACTCTCAAGCTTGTAGCCAACGGCGATTCCGTCCTGGACTTGCCGCTGACTTTACTGAAAGCGATGATCGGCAGCAGGAAGGAGGCTACGGGGAAGAATAGTTTGTCAGGGAAGAATGACGAGGGTAACGTGGAATTAGAAAGTGTGCGTCCGCTCATGGTGTTCCATGTACATGGGGGACAACATCTGTCATGCATGGAGAGAGCGTGGTTTAAGGAACGGGTGACTGACTTCGTATGGGACTACAAGAGGGAGGTGAGGAGTGGTTTGTATGCAGGGAACCTCATGTAGTAAGGTTATTGATGTTCGTGCTGACGATCACTAGCAATACTGCGTGTTCAATATCTATGTCTGTTTCCAGGTTCTCCACTGCATAATCAAACAGCAGCGACAACCTATTGCGCCCTTCGTTAATTGATCCGGCGCCCGCCTTGCATAAGTACTCAGGAACATGGACTTCGTTGTGTCTTCCTTTAGTGCGCGCGAGGCTTCGAATTCTAGACTTGCCACGATCAAGATGGGAGATTCACCTGTCGTCTATCATTGTCCAATTATAGAGTCTCGAAGGATTCAACATCCTCCCTATTTACGACAATTTATATCGCAAGAAAGTCCTCATCGTCCTCAACGAGGATATCTAAGAGCTTGAAAAATGACGCCCCAGGAAAACCCATGACGTTGTAAAAATCGCCGTCAATCTTGCGAATGAGCAAGTTGCCACGACCCTGTCATCAATGTTAATATCGCATTATGCACAAGTTCTAAAAGACCGACTTGAACTGCAAAGCCTCCTGCCCGATCTAGGCCTTCTTCACTGTCCACGTACGCCTTAAGTACATGGTCTGGATTGTCCCCGAAGAACACCAATGTCCGCTCATCTATAGATCTGTGCGCGCAAAGTCAATTCGGTCAATGGAGCGCGCTCAAAGAAGAAAAACCCTACTTGATCTCATATCCAGGAGCGCTCAAGATAGGATACACTAAACCAGTGATTAGGACAACAGGATAATGCCAAAAAAATCGTAGTTTTTACATACCAAGCGAAACGCCCGTTACGACCTCACAAACGCTGCCATTCAGGTCCATCAGCATGCGCATATTATCCTCTTTCGAGGATGGTTTTTCGAGGAGTTCTTGCCGCACACCTGTCTCCATCTCAATTGTCGTCGATGGTAGGGCATGAGTGAAGACGACGGTATCCGCTGATAGGATGTTAGTTCGCTTAGATGGCCACTTTCCAGAGGGTACATACCACTGATGACGAGATCCGGTGGGTCGTCTGGCGCGTCTGTCTTGTGCAAGTCGGTGAGATATAGGTGGAATTGAAAGCAGCGAACGTACCAGTAATCTTTGATATACCTCTACTGCTTTTTGGGTCGCGGTGGAAACGGGATATTCGTGGATATCCTCGAAGGAAGAGATAGGAAGATCCTCAGCAAACGTCGATGGTACAACTTCGGGTGCTAAGCCCTGTCTACATGCCATCTAGAGGTCGACTTAAAGAGATACTAGGTTGAGCTCGTACCAGGGTTTGTAGTATCTCCTTTCTCCTTGGGCTTGCAGAAGCGAGAATGACGCGCTTGTTAGTCAATTTCTGGATGGCAGGTGTTTTAAGAGCGGTTGGCAGAACGACGTTGTGCTTAGGTGCCATGGATCTTAATTGTAAATGTTCGACTTCAAGTTGTATGTTGCTTATCAAAGGGTCGTGAGCACTCTTCCAATGGACCAATTAATATGTTAGTTGTTATTGACACCCAACTCTCCGGGCAACTCAAATTTCTCAGTAACTTATAGAACACAGTACTCAGTCACGGTATCCCGTTAATCATCCTTCTTACCCGAGGGTTGTGGGCCTGGTAGCCCCACAGCCGATGACATGGGAACGATGAGGGACGAACTGAGCCCTCCACTAACACTGACTTCCTCTGGCTATGCCCTTCCCCACACTTGATGGTGACCCAAACGCCGCCGCGCCACAGCCAAGTCCGACATCTGTTTCTGGTGTCGTTGTGGGACGCTCGTACTGCTAGTCAGCAGCAAAGGAATGTGACATATGTATGCGTAGGCACACCTTTCCGGTTGTTGAAGCAGTGGGGGGAGGATCTGATGTTAAGAAAATTGGATCCAAGGTTTCCAATTAAAACAAGTTCGAAGCCTCAGGCCTCAGGCGTGATAACGCGTGACAAGTCGCCTTGAGGCTTGGATCGAATAGAAGTCAGTCAATGGCCTTGATAGGTACTCTACCTCCCACTCCTCGCATATTCCCGCCTCACTCGTACCAACCCCCCAGGTCCAAAGCCCCTCCTAATCAGAGGCAGCATCCTCGATTTCACTCGAAAAGAACCCTGGCTCATCGCATTCAAATGGACACGCAACTGTGTACCCATAACACACATCCGCATCTTCAACCAATCCCTCAATACCCCAAAAGCCATCTCCGACCTCCTAGATAAACGCGGGTCAGCCTATAGCGATAAACCGCAGCGGGAATATGTGAAGAAGTTTTGCATTCGGCCCAGCTGACGCCTCGTGCATGGATTAATACACGTGGCTACACCCATCATAAGAGAGCAGAATGAGCAGTTGACGTTCCCTCGACTCGATGACCCTCTTAGTACTTTACGCTGTCCTCTTCTGCGTTCCGTTTGTTTGCGCTTCACTCCCAAGTCTCAACGATACCTATATCCATACACTTGATTCCAGCAACTTCTCACCCTCCGATACCAGAACCTTGTGGGACATTCTCTTGAGCTGTGGCTTAACTTTGTTTGCCTGCACATGGACTGCCATACATCCAAACATTCCGGGTGTTAACGATGGGGTGGTTCTCATTATTTTCTATCGTCTATGCCTCATGGTTGTAGCGTTGTTCATCCCTGAATTCATGACCATCTGGGCCATGGCGCAGTTTCACTATGCTCAGAGAGCTGCAATGGATTTCAATCGTGGCTTTGGTGCTCAACGCGCCCAGTCCCATAGCGACGATCAAGCCATATGCCAGAGCGAGCGGGCAGTCACTGGTATGTCACTTGGTGACATCCTTAATTCAAGCAGAAGTCCACGCACCGGTCAGCCGCATACCCAGACTCTTCAATTGTCTTGAAAAAACTAACGCTAAACTGGTGCAATTCACAGAATGGACACTGACGCACGGGTTCTTCGCATTGATGGGTGGATTCGTGCTGTACGTCAAGGGTGAGCCGCGGGCCACTCTTACACCCAGTGAACTCCGGGAGTTTGTCTACAAGGGATACGTGGAGATGCCTGTCATTACGGAGGCAGAAATCGAAGACCGGAGTAAGGGCGATGGGCTATACAAATGCATTGCTATTCTCCAGCTGGTGTGGTTTGTCGTCCAGCTCATCGCCCGTACTGCCCAGGGCCTCCCGGTAACGCTGCTCGAAATTGACACCCTAGGCGTAGCCGCTCTGGCCTGCATTGCCTACCCCTTTTGGTGGAAGAAGCCGAAGGACATACGACGTCCTTATATTGTTCATTGGAACTCGGAAGGCTGATCCTTCGCTATGTGACAACTTGGAAAATAATTACTACTAGTATGTCATCAATATTCCTGGCAGGACTTATTCTGATTTAGCTGCGTACAAGTTCACATACACGCCGATCACTAGTGCGTCCGCTTCCATTTAGATTCGATGACCCGAAATATAGCCCGAGTTTGATCTCATTCGTCGCCGGATGTTTCAGTGGGGTGGTGTTTGGAGCGGTACATTGTCTGGGATGGAATGTCTTTCTGACACACACAGAGCAGATACTATGGCGTGTGGCTTCCATTGGGACGACATGTTCACCGCTGATGACGTTTTTCGCATTTGCTTTTCCTGCTTTCACGGGCATACTAATGATGACACGGGATCGCTACACGTGCGGATATATTATGGACTCATTGATCAGTGCTTTCGCGACAGTTTTCACGAGACTCGGCATGCTTTCGTACATTTGTTCACGTGTTACAATGCTTGTACTTGTGTTCATGAGCTTACGATCACTACCTCTCGGCGCATACGATACGGTAGCTTGGATCAAACATATTTACTTTGGTTCTATCTGATTCCATAGTATTCTTGCCCTACAGTATATAAACTGTCGTATATCTACTCGTAAGCAGTTGATCTTTCCCCCGCCGAATGTAACTTAGTTCGGCCAGTTACTCTGCTGGAGCCTTAGACATTGCGAGCCGTGTGTATACATACTCTCACACTTCAAAGAAACAGTTCAGAGGGCAAGTACTTTGCGCTGTTTGGGTCTTGCACATGTATGTGTATTGGCGCAGAGAACGTAGTTATGAATGTCGTGTTAATGGTGTGAACAATCCTAAGGGTAGAGTGCTATGAGGCGAAGGGCATAACGGGAGGAAATTGAAAGGAGAACAAGCACAAACCAAAAAGCAAGGTTAGATAGAGCTCAGAGACTAAACGATAGATATGATACCGGTATTGCGAGGAATGATATACAACTGTTTGGAGCAGAGCAAGGGTCAACATGTCAAGAATATCGAAGTGCTCATGGGAGATCAACTGGATAGGTACCAGGATTAACGCCTCCGCATTGTTTTTCCTACTTTGCGCAAAACGGCTGTACACAGCACGAAAGAGAACACGATCAAGTAGGATAGCCGAAACTCGGGTAAAATGCGCGGTTGTACGAGGGAAAAGCTCAGCCTTTGAGAACGTGTTGCCTTTACTTCTGGACGAGGGTGTGCACCAGGATGAGAGTAGGGATACAACCATCCCAATGTACGAGCAATGATTGAGCGTGCGAATGATCTCAAACCAAGACGGTAACCGGAGAAGACGATGTCGTCCGGAGCAGGGAATGAATCATGAGTACAAGAATGGTTTATGGGTCGATGTTCATTGAGTAGCTCCTGAGCTTCTTCAGGACGAAGGCGAGCGTGGCTGAAACTTTCCTGGGTCACGACCTGTGCTTCGATGACTTCCAGACGTGCTTGGAAGGCTTCAAGCTGTGCTCGAGTAGACGCAATGGATGCTTCAAGTATTGCAAAGACAGTATCATCATCGGAAGGTGCTGCAACTTGGTCGGGCGCAAGGAAGATGCCTTCGGGTGACTCGACTGCATCAAGGATGCTCACTACCTCCCCTGGATCTGAATTGGCCTGAGGTACGTTGTCCACAGGTATGCTGTCTGACACATTGTCCATCTTGTCGGAACCTCCGGTAAATATCGCAGTCACGATTCGCTTCTGAGTGTTAGCTCGACCGTTTCCAAGGTCACTGAACTTGCCGAGGCTGCATTCTGCTAAAGACCCATTTGAGTCGGGATTAATTTCGACCGCCGCCGCCGCCGCCACGCTCGGAGATGTAGATGCCAAAGGCAAAGGGGCAGGCGCACTAACGGAGATCCGCTTGACGGTCTCTCCCAACCCATAGTCCTCTTCCCAAGCACGTGCACCTTTTATAGGACCAGAGGACGTCAAGAGCTCCTCAATAGTCGGTTCGTCCCTTATATCCTTGAGTGATGTGTATGGAGGTGGCGGGGTGATTAGATTGATCGTCGAATTTGAAAGGGCAGGCGGCACGGGTGATTCAGCGGATGGAATATCACTGTCACTATCGGCATCACTGCCACTCATAGAGCCTTCACTCCCGCTGACGGCACCTCTTTCACGCTCCCAAGTATCAACAAGACCCTTAACCTGTCCACGTCTCCTGACTCGCATACGTGCAAGGTCTCTGTACCTCTGCGCGGATGATTCTGAGACAGAGTTGGAGCGATTCAAAGTTACGGCTGGGGATGACGCAAAGTCCCCATCAGCTCCTATGGAGGCAGATGGCGGGAGAATTAAATCCACCGATGAAGTGGAGAAATTATACAGATCGCAGTTGAAAGGCGAATTAGAGCTGCGTACGGATCGCGTGTAAACACCTTTTGAGCGCGCAGATATGTCTTTAGAATGGTATGAGTCCATCCATATGCGACCACGGAGAACATCTGCGCGCAAGGCACGGGAAGCCTCGAGCAGATAGAGTCGCTGACTAGGTGTCAGAGACAGGCTATAAGCACACGATAGTCGTCAGATAATCCTTCGTATTGGGATAATACCTGATGGCATGAACGTACAACTTACCTTGCAAGGTCAGCGTCAGTCAATCTCAAGAAATTTCTACCGGTAAAATTTTGTTCTTTGATCACACGAATGAGATGTCCTTGATCTTCGGTGCTCAGCTGGCTGCCCACCTGGAGTGAAGTGGCAAGATGTAAAGCGAGGTCGTCAGTGGACCAGTGCTTGGGGTTGCGAGGTAGCTTATCATTGTCCTCCGTAACATCATTGTTATTAAGAACAGGTACACTTGCAGAGGGTGGTAGCGTGTCTGCACGCTTCAGTCTGCGAGAAGGCGTTGCGTCGTCACTGAGAGATAAAGATGCACGTGTTAGAGGGGTGGAATGAAAAGAGAGGGGGACAGGCAACGGAGAAGGTCCAGGGATTTCATTGACGCTCACACCTTCAACAGACGAAAGGGAAAACGCGTAACCATGCCTCGGGCGAGTTGGCGACGGAGGAACATAATGATGTTTGACTGAGGGTGATGAGTGCGGCGATGAGTTCGAACGTGAAAGAACAGCAGAGGACGTCGTCTTGATTGCATACGGATGTGCATTTGGTAAGATTGTAGGGTGCTTCTTGGTCGGTACCGCCGCTCTTGGTGGACTAGAAGACGCAGTCGTGTTCATCGTGGACGACGACGACGGTGTCTGAACAAATTCCTCACAAACAAACGTGAGAGTCCTCAAATTGATTTGATGACTTACTCAAGTCAGACTCGGCCCTCACTACTACCGTAAAAATTACTACTGCCATTAATTTCATTTTTTTCCAGCTACTTTGTCACCAATGAGAGAGAGCTAGCTCGTAGGACCAACTCGGAGTCGAGGGACTGATACTAGTCTGAGCAGAACTGGAACGATGTCGTGGATGATGCGGACGATGGCACCCAACTTCAAGTAAATCCTTGACTGAAGCTCAAGAGAGTCCGATCATGATCAATGGATGAAATCACAGAGGCAACATACGACATATGATCACTTTCTCAACAAAGACACTAGCACTGGCGGTGAGTAATTTATGAGCGTCGAGTGGTCGAATCGAACATATGCTCTGGCAGTAGCGTACGCAAAAGCAAAAGCATCTAACCACCAAGTCTTAGATGCAAGTTGTTCCATTCGAGATCATGGTCTCCTGGAAATCGGATGTCACAGACTCAGCTCGAGTGCGTTGTTTATATTTCCATTCAATGATATAGCTAACTTACCTGATGCTAGAGTCGTTCCTACGATGAAGGTTGTTGTGTCATCCGCATGCCTCGCAATCTTCCCCCTCGTGTACATGTGCTATGATGCGGCTATTTTGGTCATTTTTATCAAGAAGGGCCCCTGCCAGGCATACTTCCCATGTATTGATATCCTCCATCAATGCATGACTTTATAACTCCGAGCTTAACGAGAACATAAAAGCCCAATCCCGACACTTCGGAGACTATCACTTGGACATGTGAATTGTACAAAAATTGCTTCACATTCTGCATTCTCCTCCTGGCGTGTAGCTTGGCAGTCCCGGCCTCCGATTCCTTACCAAACCTTCTTCACGGAGTGGCTGTAAAAGGCTGCATAACAGCGCGTGCGACTTGATTCCATCAAAGGCGCATACGAACAAGTCAATGATATCGAAACTCTATCTCCGTAGCATGTAAAAGTGGCCAGGGACTATGATGGTCTAATCCCGCCGATTTCAACGCCCACCTATTGAAAGCTCGAACCGGGAATTCAAACTTCATCACCGCATGGAGTCCATAGAGCCCATGTGCTCTTACTACAGACACAGGGACACTGAATCTGATATGCCAGCATGCGCAGTCTGTTTGATCATGACGGCAAGTTTGGTTGCTATGCTTTGATTTTTTTTGTTAGTCACTTTCGCCTTGGCTTTGATTACTATTTCACTGATGCCAACTCGTCGGCTCTTTCTCTGATGGAAGGCTACTCAGGAAACGCAGCAGGGGACGCTGATCAGCACATATGAAAATCAAATACCGCAAGGACGAGGGTGTGATGACAACAACCCCATCTCGCACTTACAGATGGGTTCCGTACCTGACTGTCTAGACTCCAGAAGCATCCCGCGGCTGTGCATTGGATCAAATGCAATACGGGCAGTCGGAGAGCAGACACTGTTAATGAACTATACCATTTGTGCAATTATTTCGTGGTCGTACCTTGAAGTGGTGGTTAGGCACGTTAACGGTATGTCTCATCCTTGCCCTCTCACCTCTTGTCAGTCGTCAGACATGTGGTATTGTTCATCAGACACTTGAACTGGAAGTAAAGTGTACAAAACATGAATGACATTCAGAATCCATCAATGTTCCACAGCTGTAAATTATATAGCAGGGTATATGTATATGCACGCAGGGTATCTCTCAATCGGGAACATTACCCAGCTCCGTGCACGTGCATGGTGATGCTCCAAGGATTGATCAAAGTCTAAAGTGAATCAGTTATGATATATATATTATCAGTCGCTCAGAACATACCCTATCGCTATCATGAGAACGAACCCAACAGTAGCAACGACCTAGACGTGCATTTTGTCAAATGAGCATGGGCGTTGGATCTAAGATATACCACGTACGAGGGTGGCGACAATACTAGCGGGCACGCCGTTCTTCAAGAAGTCCATATTAGAGAGATAAAGACGTCCGAGGTCATCCTCTTGGGCGGCACTGGTCATTCAGAATGCGTCAGGTTCAACTCGCAGTGGTCGTGTGATGGACATACGCGGTTTGATTAGGAAACCCAGAGACGGGCATACCCATTCCAACAGAGCAGAGAAGACCAGTCATAAAAATAAGTAGATTTGCATGATCGCCAGGTAGGGTTTCTCCAACCTCTTTCGCGATGGGAACCAACAGCACGCTTGCGATCGTATGGCTGATAAATGTCGATACGATCTGGAAAAAGTATGAGTGAACTGCGAACACCACAAAATGTGACCACAAACCAAGACGACTGGTGAGAGGACAAGAACGACAGTGTACAAGGAAAGACCCTCGAGTAGGCGATGGATTACCCTATCCATAGTCACCATCAAGCCACTAGACGTAACACCCTTGCCAAGAGCGATTCCACCCATTGCGAGGAAAACAATTGTCCAAGCGAATTGTTCAAAGTCGTCCTAGAGCACGTAGGTTAGTATGAATAATGCCAATTTATTCACCACGCACCTTATTCAGCACACCAGTGGCAAAAAAGGCGGCGATCGGGATAATAGCAATGATACCCATGTCTCCCACAAGACCCTCGATTTTGTGCTCAAAACACCAGAGAACAATCGTGAATAAGCAGACAAACGTGACCCAATACTGCTTGAGGGTGAAGGACTCCCTTGTTGGGCGGATAGTTCGTATCTCGATCTCTCCTTCCCCGTCAGGCGAACGAGCAGGGCGGTACATCACGAGTAATAGTAGCCAGATGAGCAAGATAGAGATTACGGACACCGGAAGTGCCACAGCAAACCAACTCGCCCAATCAAGTTTAGGATCCATCGCCGCGAGGGCGATGAGATTCTGTGGAGACGATATCGGGGAGCTCTGACCACCTATGTTGGCGGCCAAAGCGATAGCAAGCTGTTGGGGACATGAGTGGTGGATCCCGTATATGGTAAACAACAAACTATTAGCGCTGGCGCAAAAGCCGAACCAGGAGGCAACGTTCTCAGAATCGGCTGAAAACAATAAAAATTAGACAACTGTTGCTGCAGGCGCGGAACGCATATTATTTACTCGGATAAGAGTGAAGCACAGTGTTGGAGCTGCAACATTACTGAAACACGTTAACAGCATGTGAGTAACGGAAATATATGTAACCTACCTGATCCACATGCTCGCAAAACAGGAAACACCCATGAAGGCAAGAAGCACGGAACTGGGTCTTGAACCCGCAAAACTCAAGACTCTCGTGATTAAAATCCGATCTATGTTGCTTTTGCTCAGGGCCGAAGAGATCGTGAATCCTCCGATCAAAAGCATGATTGTGGGCGAGAACATAACAGAGAATATATACCTGGGTCCATGTACTGAGTATTTCGAAGAAGGTAAATTCGAACAGCTTACTTTGTTGCATCAGGCGTTGACAAAGCAGTGTCATTGTCATCACGTATGACTCGTAGGCATACCAACAGGAGAGGGACGCAAATCGACGTCACGAACAGGGGTATTGCCTAAAAGTCGAGAATAAGTAAAAAGCGGAAGCTGGAGGACATTGCGCACCTCTGTCGCCCACAATATGGTACTGAATACAAGGACGGCAAAACACTTATTAGCCTCTTCACCAGCAACAACGTCCATCTTCAATAAAGCGATGAAAACAGCTAGCGCAAGGGTGAGCGACACCCTCTTCTTTGTCAATTTCAGACTTCCGAGAGGAGTTGGGATATCAATAAGGCTACTTTCTTCCTGTTGTACCAGCGTAGCGCCCACGAGAACACCTAAACCGTTGACAGTACCGTGTCGCTGCTGCCCGATCATTTGACGCCAGACTGTATTCCGCTCCCATGCAATATTTTCGCGCTGGTACAACTTCAGCTGCTGCTGTGCTACTGACTTGTCTCCATTTGTCACACATTTGGTATAGAGATCGGTGAGTCGGGCGATGGCATCCGACATTCTGGCTTTCGACTCTTCTGTAAACGGTGTGGAGGTCTTGACCACTTCGTCCATATAACGGTCTTTGAGCTGAAGGGAGCGATAAGCTATGAATGAACGAGGTACGATAAAATGGTATATACTTCGCTATACGTTACTTTGTCATACCTGCAGAAACCCCTTCAACGAATATTACGCGAACCAGATAGGACTAACTCACTTTTTTAGAATCTTGCGAAAGCCAGAGTAATTGACCTCCACATAAGACCTCAGCGAGGAAAAAGTGACGTAAAGATTGGTGATTTTTCGCTTAAAGAGTAACCGAGTATCCAAGGCATAGCTGCCCTTGGCGGTCCAGATGGTGTCTCCAGCGGATGTTGTGCTATCCTTCATAGTTCTCATCCGGCTAGCCAAGCTACGAGCTCTTGCCGTCGGTGACATGCTGGTGTTTGCACGACGCGAACCGGATACAACCTGCGAGGCTGATCGTGGATGCGGAGCAAGGGATAAGATACTTGCATCTAGATCACCCGCTTCGCTGGAAGAGACGCTAAAGCGGCGATTCGGAGGTTCCTCGCGAATAGAACCTGTTCAATCAGTATTTGCTGTACATGACAAGATACTACAAGGCAGACCTGTTGCAAAACGCGTTCCATAGCCGACGGAGCTCGATTTGCGGCGCCTGCGTCGGGGCCTTTTGCCATAGTCATCTGATCGGGTTAACATGTTGTATTCATCTTCCTCTTCGTCGTCTTCTTCTTCTTCATCTTCATCTTCATCCATATAGCTGAGCCCTGCCTCAAGTCCAGCCTCGTCTTGCTGCGTGATAGATTGCTCCAACGCCGCGAGTTCATTCAAAAGCTCTTGTTCCTGCGCTTCATAAAACTTCACAATCTTCTGCAGCTCTTTGTCAAGCAGTGGCTTGAATAGTTTGTCCGCACCAAACGTCATACTGTGGTCGACAAGGGTTGTCTGTTCATTGGCCTCCAAGTCATGATAAGACGATTCTATACCATCCGGCTCTTGTTGTCGCTTCTCCAGCTGATAAATGTATCGCTTGAGGACATCAT